GAGTGTGTGTGTACAGCAGTGTATACTGAGTGTGTGTGTACAGCAGTGTGTACAGGAGTGTGTGTGTACCCAGCAGCAGCTCCACTCCTTTCTGCAGCAGAACTTCTTTGGCCTGATGTCGGACGCTGGGCAGCAGCTCAGGGTCGGCCAGAGCGATCCTGGAGTGAATCAGAACCACCTGAGAGACAGGAAGAGGAAGAGGAAGCTACGAGGAAGCTAAGAGGAAGCTACGAGGAAGCTTTATCTTCTTAATTAATTCATGTTTGGAAAGATGTCAATTCATCCTGTCACCAGCAGGTCAGAGTTCATCACCTTCTTCTCTGGATGCTCCGTCTTGATCTCAGCAGCCATCTCCACACCAGTCGACCCCCCCCCCACCACCACCACCGAGTCTGCAGCCTGGACCTGCCCCCCCCCCCACACACACACACACACACACACACACACACAGGTTAATGACCTGACGTCTCTTCAGATCCTCAGTTTGCGTCCGTCACTGAACCTGCTTAGTGAAGTCCTCGTAAGTCTGAACGCTGCTTTGATACGACGCCTCCGTGTTAAACTTCCCAGGAAACGGTCCGTCAGTGCCGGTGCAGAGGATGAGGTGGGAGAACTGGACTTCCTGCAAACAAACAAACGACTGATTGTAGATTACGTTCACGACATTTACCCCAGAACACTTTTCTTTGAGTTTGGCTGAAAGACTGGAAGCAGCTGGAAGTTGTTAGCCTAGCTTAGCACAAATGCTGGAAGTTGTTAGCCTAGCTTAGCACAAATGCTGGAAGCGGCTGGAAGTTGTTAGCCTAGCTTAGCACAAAGACTGGAAGCAGCTGGAAATTTTCAGTGTAGCTCCCCTGGGTCCTCACCCTCCCCCCCTGCAGGACGACCGTCTGTCTGTTGATGTCGACTCGTTCCACTCGACCTTGAACAAAACTGTCTCCGAACGTGTCAGCGAACGGGATGAAGGTTCTCCGAGCGAAGCCTGCAGAGACGACGTGGAGGTCAAAGGTCAGACAGGAAACGTCTCAAACACAACATGCAGCTGAAATAATAAGATATTAAATAATGATGACAACAAGAGTGAATCAAAATAT